ACGATATAATGGCGCGCGTGATTAAAAGGGCGAAGAAACTGGAAAAGAAGGAAAAGAAGAGGAGGAGGAGGAGAAAGTCGAAGAAAGAAAAACTAAAGAAAACGAGACTATAAGAAAAACAAAAAAAAAAAAAAAACAAAAAAGAAAACGATTTTCCGAGGAAGAGAGGACGATATTTCGAGATAGTGAGAGATCTATAGTTATTATAACTTACTTAGGAATTTAGTGTAACGTCGCGCAACGAGATAACGTAACATCGAACTTAACGACAACGAAGGTCCTAAAACTATAATGTTGTATATTGTCCAAAAGTGCTTTCTCTCTCTCTCCGTCGACTGTACATTGAATTAGGGTGTCTGACGATACAGGGCGAATTTTTTTCTTTCTTTTTTTTTTTTTTTTTTTTTTTTTTTTTCTTCTTTGAGCTCAACCCTTTCGCTGCCAAGAGACTAAAAGAAACTCGAAAAATCGTTGAAAATGTTCTTTCTTTTAATTCGAAAAATAATGTAATAATGATGAAATTACTTTTAATTTTCAAAAAACAATTTCAAAGGTTAATAGTTGTAGAAACGTAAGATCGAATATCTATGGAATATATTTTGTATAAAAAAAGAAGAAGAAGAAGAAGAATTCTGGCAGCGTAAGAGTTGGAAAGCAAACACGAGGGGCGATCTGTCTTATTATATATAGCGATTCCCAAGGAACCCCTTAAGTAATGATGCGCTTAATACACTCGCTAGATGATCAGATAGCTTTTCGAGGTGGTTCTTCCTGGGTTTTGTTTCGCGAGAACAACCCTTTCGTTTTTTTTTTTTTTCCTCTCTTTCTCTCTTCGAGTGAGGTTGAAAGGGTGCGCGGCGTCCTTGCCCATTAGCGACGACTGGATCCAACGATCGTTGAACTCGATTGACTCGCGCCCCATTCGAATTCAGTGAAAGAAAATGGGAAGGAAGGGAAAAGAAAGAGAAAGAAAATTGCGGCGAGCGGTTGCTTTTTGATTTTTTTTTTTCCGAATTCGATTTGGTTTCCAGCGTTTTATTTTAAAAAATAAGATGGCGATCGTTCAAAGCCCAAAGCCTGGTTCATAACTTCATTCATTGTATCTCTCCTCCCCTGATCGTTGATTTGTGTTTGCTCGCTTGTCTGTGCTTCTTATATGTGCCTTTGTAAATTAATATTAATCGTAGCGTTTAACCGTGCTCTAGATCTTAGAATCCTTAAAAACTCTTAGTTGCGAGTGGCTTTGTATAGATCTCAAGATTTTCTCGGTGCTCGGAGGCGGTTTTCTGTCGTCGAATCATTTCAATCGTTGTTACTTATTGTACTTGTGTACGAGACATCACACGAGTTAGTGTAGAGTTCAGTTTGCCGGATGAAATGTGTCCAGGATCAAGTCGAAATCGCGGTTAAATGGGAAGAATGGAGGCACCCTGTCAATCGGTTCGTAGTGATAGTACAAAGAATTTTGAGACTAGCGATATATCGATAATTAGTGTTAAAAAAAAAAAAAAAGAAAAAAAAAGAAAAAGAAAAAAAAAAGATAAAAGAGAAACCGAAGTGTAAGATTCACTTACAGACTCGAGTTAAGAGAGATGAACAAGACGATACGATACTACTACTATTCCTATAAAGAATTGCTTCTTACCGCTACTAACGCTATTACGATGAGGCGACGATGAATACCGCTGCAACTATATTGTTAATACTACAAGGGGAAGAAAAAAAACTACTACTATTATTATAACTACTACTTGTACAACTATTACCACCACCACCACCACCACCACCACCACCACCACCA